AGAGTGGAAGTGTGTGTTTCTGTGTATAATATTATTAAGTTTTATGGTCCGAACTGATGTGACTTCTGTGATGATGTATTGAGGAACATTGAGCGGTTTCGGGGCGGATGATATTCCCGTCTCATTTGCCTGTTGTACACTGTGGGATCAGACGGGACCTTCATTCCAGGCCGAGGGGAGAGAGGGACTGAAGCTCCAACAACATTCTTCCACATTTATTCATTCATTTCTAATTCGGGGTATTATTTTTCTCGCGGTTTGCGGGGATGTGATCTGTGCGGAGCGGTTTAATCTGTGGAGTCCTGTGGTGTCGTAGTGAGTGCAGTCACTCGTCATTTGAGTGATAGCAGTAACAATCCTTGTGTTTGGTACCGAGTACATACACACAAACACACACAGACACACAGACAGACACACACAGACACACACACAGACACACAGACACACACTCTCACTCTCTGTCAGTCTCTGTCACTCTCTCGCTCACACTCTCTCCTCTCACACACATTGAACCAGGCTGACGCATAGAGACACACACAGACACAGACACCGAGCCAGGCTAACACACACACAGACACACACACACACACACTGACATACACAGACACACACACACACTGACATACACAGAGACACACACACTGACATACACAGACACACACACACTGACATACACAGACACACACACACAGACATACACAGACACACACACGCACTGACATACACAGACACAGACACACACACTGACATACACAGACACACACACACACAGACATACACAGACACACACACACACACTGACATACACAGACACACACACTGACATACACAGACACACACACATACACACACACACACACAGACACACACTCTCACTCTCTGTCAGTCTCTCTCACCCTCTCTCTCTCCTCTTTCTCACACTCACACAGACACCGAGTCGGGCTATCACACAAACACACACAGTGTTGGCCTGGCTCGGTGTCTGGGTTTGTGTGTGTGTGTGTCTGTGGGTTCAATGTGTGTGAGAGCGAGTGAGAGCGAATGTGGGAGAGAGGGTGAGAGACTGACAGTGAGAGTGTGTGTCAGTCTGTGTGTGTGTCTGTATTTGTGTGATAGACTGACTCTGTGTGTGTGTGTGTGTGTGTGTGTGTGTGTGTGTCAGTCTCTGTGTGTGTGCGTATGTCAGTCTGTGTGTGTGTGAATGTCTTAGTGTGTCTGTGTGTGTCCGTGTATGTGTATGTCTGTTTGTGTGTGTGTGTGTGTTTCAGGCTCAGTGTGTGTGATAGAGAGTGAGAGTGTGTGTTTTTGTGTCTGTGTCTCTCTCTCTCTCTCTCTGTCACCGACACTGACCGTCGTCTCCGCCGCCATCACCACCTCCCGCGGTCCCGCCTCGCGCTCAGACAGACAGGCGCCGCGCCCCGAAACACCGTCAGCCCCGCGCCCGGAGACGGCACTGCGCAGGCGCCGAGTTCAAAAAAATACCGTTGGCCTCGCGCTCAGGGACACCACTGCGCAGGCGCCGAGTCAGAGAAAAAAAAGAGGCGCCAAAGTCAGGCGCTGCTGTTCATCAGTCGACGAGAGACACAGAGAGAGAGACAGACAACAGTGCGGCCATGTCACCCCCCGCCCGCCAGTCACCCCCACCCCCCAGTCACCCCAACCCCCCCAGTCACCCCCACCCCCCCCCCCACCCCACCCCAGTCACCCCCACCCCCCAGTCACCCCACCCCCCAGTCACCCCCACCCCCAGTCACCCCACCCCCCAGTCACACCCAACCCCCCAGTCACCCCCACCCCCCATCACCCCATCCCCAGTCACACCCCACCCCCCAGTCACCCCAACCCCAGTCACACACACAGACAGTGAGGAGCCAATGTCAACACCTGAGGGAGCATAACATTTAATATGACTGATGGAATATATAATAATATTAATCCTTGTATTTGATATCGTGCCTCATCACATCTTCGGAACATCTCAAACTGTTTCACAGAATATACCGGTAAGTAAACTGACAGTATTTGTGGGCGAAACGCTGCAGCCAACTATACAAATCGACGTCCCACAAACATCCGTGGATTGATTGAGTAAATTATTATCAGAATATATTTAGAGGGGAGGGAAAAATAACCCCGGAAAGTGATCCAACAATTGACTAACTAATGCCTTCCGATTTATTGCCAGGTAAACAGAGCCACGCTTGTCAAGTAAGGAAATTTGCCTATGGTATCGCCCTCACCAGCCCGGGAATCGAATCCATGTGGTCAAACTTACGAGGCGCTCGCTCTAACCACTGAGCTGTAGGACTCGAGGAAAAGTGCGAGTTGCAGGAAAACTGTACAAGTTGTGGAAAATCAGATTGTCTAAATAATCTACACTGCGAACGTATAATTTAATACAGCCAATAAGTGCCCACACAGTGATGGGTTAAGAGCACATTTCCCCCGATTCAATGCATGATGGCCTGTCACCACATGCACATTGAAAGCCAAGCGCTGGTATGGCACTGAATCGCGGGTTTGTTGTGGCTTCTAGTTTTCCCATCAGCATAAATGTGAAGAAGAAATATCTTGTGGAAACAGTTCATGACGATCTCGCTTGTGGTCAGCTTTTGAGGAAGAAAGAAACCAGTAAAAACCTGAATATCTAAAGGTTAGCCTTTACAGCAACAACAAGAAAATTACACTTGTAAGTTGCCTTTCACGTTCAGAGGATGCCACAAGGTACTGGATAATCAGTGTTTCGGACCCGAGCTGAGGGTTGGGATGGTGGAGGTTGGATCAAAAGCAATGTTGAAGAATAGGATCTTGAGATGGCACATATCAGAACTTGGATGAGTGTAAACTCCTCGCAGCTTAATGTAGTCAATCCAGAAGCCATACTCTGTGGCTCCCATCTATGTTTTCACTTCTGTGGATCTGAAGCCTTCAACCACCCTGGGCCCTCCCTCTGACAAACCAATGCGCAACTTAGGCATCCGGTTCGAACTCCAGCTGTCCTCCCTTCTTCAAATCCAGTCACTAACAGAGAGACGCAGACAGATAGACACACAGACAGACAGAAACAGAGAAAAACAAACAGTGGCTCCTCTGGCTCCGGTCTGCTTCACATCCCCCGCCCCAACTGCCCTACCATCGGTGGCCGGGCCTTCAGCCTCTCAGCCCCGAGGCTCTGGAACTCCATCCCCCAGTGCCTTCGCCTTGCCTCCTCCCTTTCCTCCCTCAAGGCTGGGCAGAAGACCTTTCTCTTTAATAATAATCCTTGCATTTGATATAGCGCTTTTCACGTTGGGAGGACGTCCCAAAGCGCTTCACAAAACACACTATAAAGTGAATTGACTATGTTTTTGGGCGAACGGGGCAGCCAATTGCGCACAGCAATGTCCCACAAACAGTCGTAGATTGAAAATGACCAATTTTTTTTATTATTGTTTTTGGTTTTGGAAGGATTATTATTAGGCGTGTGGAGTAAGAAAACTTGCCCAAGGTTTCGCCCTGACCTGCCTGGAATTGAACTCAGGTCTCTCACTTGCAAAGCAAGTGCTCTACACACTGAGCTACAGGACTCCACAGGACTCCACAAGACTCTTTGACCGTACCTTCAGCTCCCCTCTCGACTCTCTACCCCCTCCTCGCTCCTTCCCTCCCCTAATCCTCACCATTTCTCCCCTATTGGGGCCCTCTACCCAACTCTCCAGCACCTTGGGACGTCTTCCCGACACGAAAGGCGCTCTATAAATGAAATCTTGTTGTTGATGTTGTGAGAAGTCATTGTCAGCCACTTGTAACCAGCTACAGACAGATGGGGAGATGGACGGATAGACAGACAGACAGTCCCTCTCCCACTTTTTCGATTGCTGTCTGAAAACCTTCCTCTGACCATCACTACCTCAGAGTCGACGTCATCTCAAAGCTTGAAATCACATCCTCCGCCAACTTCCCCCCTCCCCCCCACACCCTCACCCATCTCTGTCACTGCTATTAACACTGCCCTGTTCTCCATTACCCTTATTTCTGCCCTTCCCTCTCAACTGTCATCTCCCAGCTGTTGGTCACTCAACAACCCCTACTCACCCCTCTACTGGCCAACACGATCAAGCAGTCTCACTCCCCCGGATCTGTTCCTCATCCATTAAATTCACCAGTTATTAATGAACTCCTTCTCATCATCATCACGATTATTATTATTATTTTCACGGAAAATTTCCCCACGAATCACCAAACCGCTAATTAACTAACATAGATATTCTGGCTGACTTCTCGGTAAACATCGGGAGGGAATGGATTGAGGGAGAGAGTTCCAGAGTTTCAGGGAATAGTGGCTGAAAAGGCACAAGGGATGAGCAGGAGGCCGGAGCCGGTTGAGCGGAGGCATTGCCCGGGTGGTAGATTGGGGACTGAGGAGGTCGGAGAGGTATTTTAGGGAGTTAGTAGGAAGTAAAGTGATTTGAAGACGGGTGTGAGTAATCAACACGCTTCAAGACTCCACAACAAACCAAGCTCCATTTCTGTCTGTTCTGCTGGACGTTAAAGATCTCGCAGCACAATTTGAGAAAGAGACGGATATTTCTCTCCCTGATTTCCCGGCTGACAAAACAATCCCCCAGATAACATTGGCCGGTCACTACATGATTGTTTGCTGGTTGTGTGGAGATTGGCTGCACATTCACCAAATCCCAACAGTCACTGTACAGAAATGCAGAGTTTTGAGCTCCGTTACAGGTTCTGTATCAAATACACGGCTTGTTGTTATTCTTCCCGTTTCTCAGCCCAGGAATATCACTGGCTCCAACAGTCATGACCATCGTAAAATGCAGAGAGAACAGTTACTCCTGTGAGGGTGATTATGAATGTACAAATCTTTCTTGTGGTCTCCTGGGATCACAGTCACAATCAGCTGATTTCACAAGAAGAGACAAAGGAGACGGTTTGACAGCCCAGTGACTGGGAGCCGCCCACACACTCACACTGAAACTGAAGCCATTTTGAATCAGGAAGTGGTGACGGGGAAAATGGCTTCTGGGCTCCAGATTGAGAGCTGGACCGTGGAGATCATTTGCCCGATTTGTCTGGATTTCTTCACTGATCCTGTTAGCCTGGACTGTGGCCACAACTTCTGTCGCTCCTGTATCCCCCTGAGCTGGGAAAAGCAGGAGACAAACCGCTGTGCTGTTTGTCAGGAGACTTTTCCAGAAAAGAACCTCAGGGTTAATCGGGCCCTGGCGAGTCTAGCAGAGAAAGCTCGGAAATTCAGCCTGACCCCGACACAGACGGAAATTAAACTTCGCTGTGAGAAACACCGGGAGGAATTGAAGCTGTTCTGTGAATCTGACCAGAAATTGTTGTGTTTAGTTTGCAGAGATGCGCGAGAACACAGGGATCACAGATTCCTGCCCATTGAGGAAGCTGTTGAAATCTATAAGGTAACAGTACCCCTCACGAGGCAGTAAATCTATTCCACTTGATGATTTCAAGTACAAACACTTTTGTCCTGTGTGTTTATTCCAGGAACAAGTGAAATTCTACTTAGCTTCTCTCACACAGAGGCAGGAAACTGCTCTACAAGCTGAAGCCAAACAGAAACAAAATATTTCACAACTTAAGGTAAGTTTTATTGGGCTGATTTCTGGACAATCAGCTTGTCTCTATTTATTGTATCTAAAGGGTGTGATGTCTTAGTGTGTCTCTCCAAGGTCTTGGAAAGAGTTGTCGCCTCCCAACTGCGCTGTTTCCATTCCACCCATTCTCTTTTCGAACCCCTTCAGTCAGGTTTCCGTGCTGCCCTTCGCACAGAAACTGCCCTGGTCAAGGTCACCAATGATATCCTGACCATCTGTGACCAGGGCTCCCCCTGTCTCCTCGTCCTCCTCGACCTATCGGAAGCATTCGATACGGTCGACCACGCTATCCTACTCCACCGCTTGTCCTCCCACCTCAACCTTCAAGGCACTGTCCTTGAATGGTTTAGGTCGTACCTTTCTCACCGTCTTCACTTTGCCTCGACGAATGGCTTCTCCTCCACCCCCCGCACTGTCTCATGTGGTGTCCCTCAGGGCTCTGTCCTTGGTCCCCTCCTCTTCACCCTCTATATGCTCCCCCTTGGTGACATCATCCGCAGATATGGAGTTAACTTCCACATGTATGCGGATGACACCCAACTCTACCTTTCCTCCTCTACTCTCAACTCCACGACCACCGATGTCCTGACAGCCTGCCTGTCCGACATCGAGTCCTGGACGAGAGACAACTTTCTTCAGCTCAACGTGCGAAAAACCGAGGCCCTCCTGATTGGCTCACGTCAGCGCCTCCGCACCTCAGGCGCTGACACCATCAGCATCCAAGGCTGCACTCTCCACCTCTCAAAGCCAGTCAGGAACCTTGGCGTTTTGTTCGACCCTGAGCTGTCCTTTCTCCCTCTCATCCGCACCACAACTGGCACCGCCTTCCATCACCTCCGGAACATCGCCAGACTACGGCATTACTTCACCACTCACGCTGCTGAAACCCTGGTTCACGCCTTTGTCACCTCAAGGCTGGACTATGGGAACTCTCTCCTCGCCGGACTTCCCGCCACCTCCCTCCACAAGCTGCAGGTCATCCAGAACTCTGCAGCTCGTGTACTGTCCCGCACCAGGCTTCGGGACCACATCACTCCCACCCTCGCTCGCCTCCACTGGCTCCCATCCCCCAGAGGATTGATTTCAAGATCCTCATCCTCACCTACAAGGCCATTCACGGCCTTGCTCCCTCCTACCTCTCCAACCTTCTATCCCCCTACCTACCTGCCCGTACCCTCCGTTCCTCTGGCTCCGGTCTGCTCCACGTCCCCCGCCCCAACCGCCCTACTATCGGTGGTCGGGCCTTCAGCCTCTCAGCCCCCAGGCTCTGGAACTCCATCCCCCAGTGCCTTCGCCGCTTCCTCCCTTTCCTCCTTCAAGGCCGGTCTCAAAACCTTTCTCTTTGACCTTGCCTTCAGCTCCCTCTCGACTCTCTACCCCCTCCTCGCTCCCTCCCTTCCCTCCCCTAACCCTGACCATTTGCCCCCTGCTCGGGTCCTGACCTAACTGTGCAGCGCCTTAGGACGTCCTCCCGATGTGAAAGGCGCTCTATAAATGGAATTTTGTTGTTGTTGTTGCTCACACACACACATATACACACTTACTACTCTCTCTCACACACACACACATACTGACTGACTGCTAACACACACACACACTGACTGCTCTCTCTAACACACACACACTGACTGCTCTCTCTAACACACACACACTGACTGCTCTCTCTAACACACACACACTGACTGCTCTCTCTCACACACACACACTGACTGCTCTCTCTCACACACACACACTGACTGCTCTCTCTCATACACACATACTGACTGCTCTCACATAGACACACACAACTCCACACATACTGATTGCTCTCACACACTTACTGACTGCTCAAACACACACACTGACTGCTCTCCCCCCACCCACACACACCCGCACACACACTGACTGCCTCACACACACAAACTGCTCTCACACACATACTGACTGCCTCACACACACACACACACACTCACTGACTGCTCACACACGCACACACACTGACTGCTCACACACATACACACACTTACTGCTCTCTCACACACACAATGATTGCCTCACACACACACACACTGACTGCTCTCTCTCACACACACACACGCACACTGACTGCTCTCACACACAAACTGACTGCTCTCTCACACACACACACTGATTGCTCTCTCTCACACACACACGCACACTGACTGCTCTCACACACAAACTGACTGCTCTCTCACACACACACACTGATTGCTCTCTCTCCCACACACACACACTGACTGCTCTCACACACACTGACTGCTCTCTCTCTCTCACACACACACACACACACACTGACTGCTCTCTCACACACACACTGACTGCTCTCACACACACACACTGACTGCTCTCTCTCACACACACACGCACACTGACTGCTCTCACACACAAACTGACTGCTCTCTCACACACACACACTGATTGCTCTCCCTCACACCCACACACATACATACTGACTGTTCCGCACACACACAAACACACTGACTGCTCTCTCTCACACACACACACACTGACTGCTCACTCATACACACACACTGACTGCTCTCACACACACACAATGATTGCCTCACACACACACACTGACAGCTCTCTCTCACACACACACACACACACTGACTGCTCTCACACACTCTGACTGCTCTCTCTCTCACACACACACACACACACACTGACTGCTCTCTCACACACACACTGACTGCTCTCGCACATACACACACTGACTGCTCTCTCACACACACACACACTGACTGCTCTCTCTCTCACACACACACACACAGACTGCTCTCTCTCACACCCACACACACTGACTGCTCTCTCACACAGTGACTGCCTCACACACACACACAAACACACTGACTGCTCTGTCACACACACACACACACACACACTGACTGCTGTCACACACACACACACACACACACACTGACTACTCTCTCTCACACACACTGACTGCTCTCCCACACACACACACACACACACTGACTGCTCTCCCACACACACACACACTGACTGCTCTGACACACACACACACACACTGACTGCTCTCTCTCACACCCACACACACTGACTGCTCTCACACACAGTGACTGCCTCACACACACAAACACACTGACTGCTCTGTCACAAACACACACACTGACTGCTCTCACACACACACACACTGACTGCTGTCACACACACACACACTGACTACTCTCTCTCACACACACTGACTGCTCTCCCACACACAGACTGCTCTGACACACACAGACACTGACTGCTCTCTCTCTCTCACACACATCGACTGCTATCTCACACCAACACACACTGACTGCTCTCACACACACACACAAACACAGTGACTGCCTCTCACATACACACACACACAGACTGACTGCTCTCCCACACACAAACACAAACACTGACTACTCTCTCTCACACACACTGACTGCTCTCCCACACACACACACACACACACTGACTACTCTCTCTCACAGACACTGACTGCTCTCCCACACACACACACACACATACTGACTGCTCTCTCTCTCACACACACACACACACTGACTGCTCTCTCTCACACACACACACACACTGACTGCTCTCTCTCTCTCACACACACACACACTGACTGCTCTCCCACACACACACTGACTTCTCTCTCTCTCACACACACACACACACTGACTGCTCTCTCTCTCACACACACACACACTGACTGCTCTCTCTCTCACACACACACACACACTGACTGCTCTCCCACACACACACACTGACTGCTCTGACACACACAGACACTGACTGCTCTCTCTCTCTCACACACATCGACTGCTATCTCACACCAACACACACTGACTGCTCTCACACACACACACAAACACAGTGACTGCCTCTCACATACACACACACACACACAGACTGACTGCTCTCCCACACACACACACACACACTGACTACTCTCTCTCACAGACACTGACTGCTCTCCCACACACACACACACACACATACTGACTGCTTTCCCACACACACTGACTGCTCTCTCTCTCTCTCTCTCTCTCACACACACACACACACTGACTGCTCTGACACACACAGACACACACACTGACTGCTCTCCCTCTCTCTCACTCACACTGACTGCTCTCTCTCTCACACTGACTGCTGTGCCACACACACACACTGACTGCTCTCTCTCACACACACACACTGACTGCTCTCCCACACACACACTGACTGCTCTCCCACACACACACACACACACACACACTGACTGCTCTGACACACACACACTGACTGCTCTCTCTCTCTCTCACACACATCGACTGCTATCACACACACACACACACTGACTGCTCTCTCTCACACACTGACTGCTCTCCCACACACACACACATACTGACTGCTCTCCCACACACACACACACAGACTGCTCTCACACACACACACACTGACTGCTCTCACACACACACACACACTGACTGCTCTCCCCCCCACACACACACCGACTGCTCTCTCTCTCTCTCACACACACACACTGACTGCTCTCTCTCTCTCTCTCTCACACACACACACACTCACTGACTGCTCTCTCTAACAATCACACACTGACTTCTCTCACACAGAGACACACACACACAGACTGACTGCTCTCTCACCCACTATCTCATAGACACTCACTGACTGAGGCAAACACACACACAGAGAGTTAGAGAGACGGAGACTAAGAGAGATAACGAAAGAGAGAGCCTGAAATAGGGAGACGGAAATATATAAACTGAGAGGGACTGACACAGAGAGAGAGAGAGAGACTGTGAGAGAAAGTGCAATAGTTGTGGTCACTTACAGCAGTTTAGCAGTGACTGAGGGTCGGGGCTCTCCAGCCGCCCGCACGCCCGTAGGCGGTGTGTGTCAATAACGGTCCCCAGAGCAGAGATGGGAGAGGAATCAGGATCAACATCTTTAATAATCAGTCACTACAGTGCACAGAATATATTCCATATTACACAG